AATCACAAAAGACGTGCCAGGTTCACGTCGGAAGAGCTTGATTATTACCTTGACATAACAGTGGGTATCCCCCCAGCGTCTTGGTGCCTCGATTGATTTGATTTAGTTTCTGGTTTTTACTAATATCGTTTCTCAGTGATTGAATTGGCTGATTTGTTTGGCTTGGCAATTTTTTTTTTTTTGGTCGATTTATTTAACTGCTAGGAAACCGAGCTCTCTGCAGCGTCGGCGGCTGGGATCCTCGCGCAGCTGCGGCGACCGTGGTGGCTCTGGCTGGCGACCCCGCTGCCCCCGCCGCTGGTCGCCGCTCCGGACGAGCTCAGGGGGCGCCGCCGCCGCCGCCGCCGCCGCCGCCTTCTCTGTCCCGCTGGCTCCGCGGGGCGAACGATGCCCCCCGCCTCCGGTCCGGCAGTCCGCCCCTCCGCGCGTCTGTCCGTCTGCCTGCCTGTCGCGCGGCCCCGCGCGGGATTCTGGCTTTCCTGCGCTCCGCTCCGGCCGGCTGGCGGTCCGCGCGCGGCCGGTCTGTCCGTCCCTCGGCGCGTCGCGGTCCCGCTAGCAGGGCCGGGTCCCTGTTCCGGGTTCTGTGCCCAGCTCGCTCTCCAGCTCCCGCTCAGGGCCCCGGCCGCTTCCCTCGGACAGCGGAGGGCGTCTGGAGCGGAGGGTGCACGCGAGTGCTGCGCGCTCGCTCGCTCGCTCGCTCGCTGTCTCCCTCGCTCTCGCTCTCCCTCTCCCCCTCTCCCTCTCCTCCTGCCTCTCCTCTGCGTTCTGCTCTCCCAGACTCGAGCTGTCTAACTGCTCCCACCTGTCCGCGGCTCTGTCACTCCGTCGTCCCACCCCGAGCCAGCCAGCCAGCCTCGGCCCGTCCCTCCGTCCCGCGCCCCTGCCTCCCCGCCTCCGCCGCCGGCCCCTCCGCCCGTCCCTGCCCTCCCACGCACCCGGCTCCTCCCCGCAGCCCCGGCCGCATCCGTCCCCGCCCCGGCTGCAGCCTCCAGCGCCCCCGCCCCCCCGCCCCCGGCCCGCCACACCCCGGAGCCGGCCGCGGACAGGCGCGCCGGCAGGGCGGAGCGGAGGGGAGGGGAGAGGGGGGACGGGGGGAGGGGAGGGGGGCGCCGGGGCCTCTGCCCCCGGGCGCGGCCGGAGTTGGCCGGGTCGGAGCGCGGGCACCTGCCGGGTGCGCCCGGCGCGCGCGGGGCCATCCGTCCCCCCCGGGCCGCCCCCCCCCCCCCCCCCCCCCCCCCCCCCCCGCCACTCCCCGGCGGTCTCCGCCAGTCCCGACGCTGGAGACAAAGCGCCCGGGCCACGCGCGGCCGCACCGGCGTCATTAATCAGAGGGGAGCCTGGCACGCCGCCCCCTGCCCCTCCGCGCCGCCTCCCCGCTCCCCCGCCGCGTACCTGTCCCCGGGGCGCCGCCGACTCCCGCGGACGCTCGCCCGGGCCCGGCTCCCCGCCTTCCTCCGCTGCCCACTCCGGCGGCCAACTCTGCGGAGAACACCCCGCAGCGGCGGCCCCTCACTCCGCGCGATCGCGTCCCCGCAGTCGCGGCCCCTCACTCCGCGCGAACCAGCCGGAGCCCGCGAGCTCTCGGAGGCTCTCGGCTTCGAGCGGGACCCAAAGTCCAAGCGAGCGGCGCCCCGTGCGCCCCTGGCCCGAGCTGCGCGCCCGAGCGCGGGCCTGGGGTCGCCGCCGCGCCGCAGCGGCCAGGGCGCGGGGCGCCGAACAGAGTTGACATCCGAAGAAATTAAAGCGCTGCATTTCCCGTTTGTTCTGCAGAAGTGCTATTTTTATTATCTGTAATTCTTTTTTTTTTTTTTTTTCATTTTCTCGGGGCACACCCTACAAAAAGGAAAAAAAAAAAAAAAAAGAAAAAAAAATCGTGGAGGAATGGGGATACGTTTCCGGAACACCGCCCACCCTTCCCGAGTGAACGTGGAGCCTACTTTTCCAACATTATAGGTCACCAGCCAAGATAGATCACTCTGGCTTTCTGCCCCCCAGCTGAGAGCAAGGCGTTTGATTCTGGGCTTCTTTGCTAGGTTGTTATTAATGTGAAGCAAAATTATACTTGTGCGCGTCTGCATGGAATTGCCAAAGCTCATTTTGACTGGATCCAGCGTTTCAGAGGCTGAATAACTGTGTATCTGCTGCGACGAACGCCCCATCCCACAATAAATGGAAGAGGAGAGAAAATCAACTCTCACCAGCTGCAATTAGTAACCCCATGAATAGACAACAAATAAATAACCAGCATAAACCATGCCACGAAGATTTCCGTGTCCTTTTAGTTTCATGTATTGGCATCCACTCCTAATGGCAGACATTATAAACAGATTTATTGAGGGATATGCCTTCCGCTTTTTGTAGGGATGTAATTTCAATGGCTATTTCCCTGTTCACATAGTCTAAGATATTGATTATAAATATCAAACAGATGACGCGCGTAGTTCTAGAAAATTCTGTAAAGATAGGATGATGTTGTACTGGTCCTTCATGAACCGATTATTATTTTCCAAATATTCGAAGTTGTCTCCCTTGGGGGTCAGCTCTTGAGTTGTGCTGCATCGTCAATTCCCACAGTTGGGGCTGCTTGGGAAGAGGGTCAGTATACTTGCCTTTCCTTCTGGACAGGACTACCTACCCCCGAAGCATCTCTTGAATGGGTGGATGCGTAATCTACTGACAAGAAACCTCAACAGCTTCCTCTTAACACACAGTTTTCCTTAGAACGAATCAGATTTCACCCTGAGAGTTGGAAAAAAAAAAAAAACACAAAAACACAAAAAACAGAAGGAACTCCATATAGACTGGATATAGAAATTACAGAAATCGAGTACCGGGAGGGGGAATCCAATCAGTTCTCTTAGCACTGGTTGTATAAAAGAATGAGACAGAATACTCAAGAACTTCAGTGCGTAGACAAACATGATGACAAAATCTGCATTTTCTCATGGATTTCAGCCTTTATTTAAAAAAGGAAGCACCCCGAAAAGAATAATGTTAACTTGCTTCAACCAAAATTTTCTACCTTTTCTCATAATATTTTGTCAACGAATTAGGCACTGGAGAAAGTTCAAGTGTATGCAAGGGCATGTAGACAATTAGCATTCAGCTGTCCAATTTTAAATTTAGTGCCCCAGTGTGGGACTGAAATATACTTCTGGGAAGGTGAGGCAGGCCGTGACAATAAGTGATTCTCCTAGACATTCAGAAAAGTATTTGTATTTCCTTAAACAGTTTGCAACACTTACCGTTCCTTAGAGTCCTTGACCTGTTACGCATTAACTACCACTAACCTCCGTGAAACTCTGGGGCCCCTCATTGGAGTTCTGTGTGAGAGATCCACAATGCCAGTTGCAGAAATGTTCATGCATTTGGAAGTATCCCCACCGTGGGGGTGAGAGGTGGTGGTTGTGGGGAAAGAGAAGGTTGTGGCTTCTTTCAGTCCGGATGCTCTTGAATGTATTTGGTATCAGACGGAAATGAAAAAAAGCACACATGTAACCAGGTAACCCCAGCTTGGGGAGTTGAGCTCACCTACACACTGGCAAACATCTAAGATTGTCGACAAGCTCCTTTGAACACATATTCCCCTAAGACACTAAATTAGTGCCCTTTAATGAAGCTTCCAAATTGGATTTTCAAAAGAAGGCAAATTGCTAAAATAGCCCCGATACCTTTATAAGCACCTTTTCAGCTGAAGCGAGAAGTAGACTTTTCCATGCTGTTGAACTTCCATCATTCCTCAACAATGAGGCCGGGAGAAACTCCCCTGCAGGGCATTCTCCCCAACCACGGTAAAGAGAGACTTCTCCTTTGCCCTGTTTTCAACAAAACCGTCCAGGGTCTATTAAATGCCAGTCTCGGGTTTAAAGCCATACAAACATGCGTGGTGCGGAAAGGCAGGGGGATAACAAGGGGTGGGGGGAAGATTTGCATGTCAACCAGAAAAGTTTAGTTCCCCATTCTTATTTTGTGCTAAGCCAAAATAACTCTAAAACACATTTCAGAACATCAACAAAGAATGTTACATCACGTATGCATCTGAGCATGAAGAAATGTCACGATCAAAAACAAAGAGGACTGGGGAGACTAGAAACCAAATGTTCCAATGGCACAGATCCCTTGACGGCCAGCCATGTTTCCTCTGGAGTCTGCTGCGCGCAGTGTAAGAAAATGATCTCCGCGAACCCTCGGTGTTCTCACAGGCAGACCAGAAACGAACAGTGTCCTGCACCCACACACGGTGATGCTTTGCCGAGAGTGCAAACCAAGGCATTTCCTCGGAAACAAACGTGGGGACTGTTTTCATGGCACCGCGTCTAAATCAGAGGAGGGACAATAAGAAGGAAAGGAGGGACCAGAGTACCGTGTGCCTTCCTTCTCTGCAGTCTCTGCCCTGGGGGACGTGGCTTTGGCATTGCTGAGGCCTGTGCAGCGGGGAGCACCAGGCTCAGATGCAAAAGCTCTCCGTGACTGCAGGGCAGGTATGTGCAGGCAGGGAGTCTAGCAGGCCCTGTCTACCTGGCCGGTGTTCACGCCGTCCTCCAGGACCTGCTTCGGCAGGAAGTGTTCTCAGCCTCCTCTGAAACCTACCGAAAATGATTCCGATTTTTAAAAACCTGTGCCATCAGAACAAGCCCGGCAACGAAGCAGAAGCAACAGGAGCACAGAGGAGAAGAACAGAGGTAAATGTTATCCCGCCGAAACGCAAGGAGGGATACAGAGCATAACCTAACGCTTGCCAAAGCCCCGCACCTGTCTCCATTCTTACATTCCGGTCCCAGAGATACAGCGTTTGCCTCCATCGTGGACTCCATTCCCCTTTTCACTCAAAGGGAGACAAAGGTTACCAGGTTATTCACAACTTGGAATAATGAAGTTGGCTGCTCGACAATGAGATGATGTTGAAAGGTCTATGAATTAACCACCAGAATAAAGCAGCTCCCACGCATCCCTAATGAAATACAGGACATTTGCATTTTGAAACTGTGCTTCATAACTGAAATGGTGTGTGTGTGTGTGTGTGTGTGTGTGTGCGTGTGTGTGTGTGGCTAAAAGGTAAAACATATCCACCAGGTTTGTATTTCACGAGAGTGCTAAGATCTTACTGGAAACCGGTTGCAGGCCAACCACCTGGCATCTGAAGAACATTATGGAGATTTGTAATTCTGCATGAATGTACAGCGTGTTCTCCAAAGCTACCCGTTGAAGAAATTTTCTCTCTTCATTTTTTTTTTTTTTTGGAAAAGGAATGTACATTTGCAAGATCTACAGAGTCTTATTGTTAAAAAAAAAAAAAGAGGTAGAAGGTCAACATTTAAAAGGAACAAAATAAAAATATCTCAAAATACTACCACCCAAACAGCTATCACTTTGGTTCTCAGCCAATCTCTGTGCATATATATCCACAAATATAAAGCAATGTGTTACATAAATGGATTGCAAAATGCATGTTACTTTATCATCTGCTCCCTGCTCTCTACTTTAGAGTAAGTCATGGGAGTTCTTTCCACGACATGGACTATTTCAATATATTCATGAGAGCAGAGTGGCCTAATGCAAAATATGTGTGTGCTATACACAAGTGAAAGATATTTGCGGGCACGGCTTCCAAATTGGAGGATTATCCCTTCTGGGCAAATCTTAAAAATTTGAATTGCTCATCAAAAGTACTTACACTTTACATTTGGGCATAATACTAGATTTCAAGATGATGTATCAGTTTCAAAATATCTTTTGTTTTGATAACTGATCTTTATTAAGGCGATCTCCTTCCTGGTACAAATTATACAGATTTAAAAATAAATATAACATTCAAAGCATACAAGACATTTTCCTGTGCATATTTTT